TTAATCCATTTTTCAAATTATTTCAAATTTCTTAAATATTAATTAAAATAAATACAATTATATCTGCTTTATATCGGCCATTCTGCTTTCAAAGATATCGGCATCGGCTATCAAAAAACCCCTATCGGTCGACCACTAGTGGCTGGGGCCGAATTAACTGCAGAACATTATAAAAAAAGAAGTATGAGGGACTTCAATGCCATTGTAAGTTTTTAAGCTTACCCCCAGATCCTGTGCGTGTATATATGGGTAAATTTCTGGCCACTCTCTTCAGGATTTCCTGCTGGGCCTCTGGATTCTCCTCTTTCTCATAGAGCTCTTTGTCCACTTTAGGGAGACAGAACTAAGAGAGACAACAGGATGTTAAATGGAGATGTGTGTGAGAATAGACTAATATGAATCTGCATACGCAACTAAAATCAAGCAGACATTTAAATTTTTAACAAAAACACTTTTAATATAATTTTTGCCATCTTTATTGACAAGATGATAAAGACATGACAAAAAATGATGTGAGCCGGACTTGCACTGTCCAAATCAGCTCAGTGTGTTTGAGAATGTGTGCTAACTGCTAAACCATGACTCACATCCATCCCACAGGCAGTTCAAAACATAAATTTTTTTTTTTTTCTTTTACATCCTTCTTCCTCTTCTCTGTCATTATATTCTGCGGTAATAAAACTACAGAGCAGCCAGAGTTTAAAGGCTCCCGCTGCTGCTGCTGCTCCTCCTCCAGATGTGAGGAACATTACTGAGCCTGGAGCCAACCACATACACATTACAGTATGATAAATATTTTGCTCCCACACAGCGCAGGTGGAATGAGAACCTGAGAGCCAAGCAATAAGGAAGAAACCCTTAACCAGATCTAGACCAGTGCAGTGTTGTTTTAGTAGAATTTACATAGTAGTATAGTATTTATTTTGTCTTTTTTTATATTTTCAGTTTTTTTTATTTTAGTCTGAGTTTTAATATTTTTTTTATTATTATTCTATTTAGCTTTAATTTATTTACAATTTCCGTTTTAGTAATTTTAGTACTTCGAATTAAACTTTTGTATATCCGCTAGCTGCCAAAGCAATTTTTTTTTTTTTTTTTACTTTATCATTCAATATTTATATTTTAGTTTTAGTTAACAATAACAACACTGGACTACTGAATCTCAACATGTCTGTTCTGATGTCTGTCAGTGTCACTAATAAGAGGAAAATCATCCGTCAGCAATTTAAGATGGAAAAATGAATAGGTGTATCTATTAATTCATCTGTGACTTGGTAGGAGTTAGACAGATGGCAACATGTACAGGTTGTACAACTTGCCCACATTCTCAAAACCAGCAACAGAACTAGATTGGGTCACCACTTGTTCTCTAACGCAAGATCTGGGCTCGGAGGCAAAACCTAGACAGTAAATAAAGGAACAAAAACGGAGAGAGAAATAGCAAGAAAGAATACCTCTTTTGAGGGGCTGGCAGGCTTGGAAATGATGGTCTTCCAGTAGGACCATATGAACATGAAGAAAAAGACGTGAAACACTAACAGATAAATAACTGCAAGAAAAACAGCATGAGGGAATTTTAGTAAAACAAATCATAATTCATACTTACTTGATAACCTAATAAAAGCTGCTACTTCATAATATAAATGGGATGTTTTGTTCATTCTGGTGTGACAAAACATGTGACTAAGAACAACAGGAGGCCAGATTAGCCAACAGAAGGATTTGTTAACTGTTTTTGCAATATTGTGTGCTTGGCTACACTGGAGTTCCTCTTACCTTGCTCCTCTGTGTTGGAGATTGTGTCTGCAGAGAGAAACAAGCAAAGATAATTCAGCAATACCATCAAGAAAGAACAACTGGCCCAATTCACAAAGCCATCTGCTGAGTGCTGGGATACTGCTAATTCTATCTCAGCACCCTTCCAGTTTCCACCAGATCAGCCCACTAAGGCAAGAGCGCCGGGCGACTGGTACTGCCATCTGGCAGAGAGCTGTCAGAAAGAGCCTTGTGTCCATCACGGATGGAATACCCTGGTTGTCATGACGACTCGACAAGTGACTGACAGATGCATGTCGCAACGGCAGAGTCAGTGAAATCTCTGACAGTAGGAGTCATTTTTTAAAAGAGATTTTTTTTATTAGTTAAATATTTATTTTCATTAAACATTCATTTTTATTTTATTAAATATTTTTTAAAATGTTTAAATATTTTTTAAATAATATTTTATGAGAATGTCATTGGGGTTACAACCCTTGCTTCATTTGTGAAATTAAATGCGTAACAGAAGAAAACAGCAAAAGCTGATTTGAGATTTTACTTGCTACTCTCACTTGTTTATTAATTAACTATTTATTTTCATTAACTACAATTATTTTATTAAATATTTTAATAAATTATTCAACAATCAATAAGGAAGGATTCACAATATATCACTGCACTTTACTAGGGAAATAAATGGACCCCAACACCCAATCAAATTAGTATTTTTAGAAACGGATGAAGTAATAAATGGGTGGAAGTGGAACTACAGTGAGTGTAGAGCTCACTGTGAAGTGGTTAACAACAGCTGAAGTTAAAGACTTCAGCAGCACAGATGTGTACAGTCATTCATGTTTCACACTTTTATATATTATTAAATATTTTAATAAATTATTCAACAATCAATAAGGAAGGATTCACAATATATCACTGCACTTTACTAGGGAAATAAATGGACCCCAACACCCAATCAAATTAGTATTTTTAGAAACGGATGAAGTAATAAATGGGTGGAAGTGGAACTACAGTGAGTGTAGAGCTCACTGTGAAGTGGTTAACAACAGCTGAAGTTAAAGACTTCAGCAGCACAGATGTGTACAGTCATTCGTTTCACACTTTTATATAAAAAAATAATAATAATCCCTTTTAGCTTTGTTCGCTTAAATAGAAATTGTACCCATAAAAAGCAAAAATGCTAAAAAATAATAATAATAATAATTTAGGGTTAATTATCCCAAATTTAAGATAATCCTGCAGTGGGACAATGGAATTTTGAAAAGCATAAATATTCCATATTTATTTAATCAAGTAATGAGATTATCAGCATACACGATAATTATACATTTTCAATACAGGACAAAAAAAATGAAGTATAGCATATCCCACTAAATGACACTGCCTGACATGAACGACTACTTATCTGACTAATGAAGAACAAAACAGTTTATTAGTCAGAAATCTTCATGACAAGACGGTCTAATCTACGTTCAGACTGAAATGAGATTTAAAGAGAAAGTTAATAAAAGAAAGTACTTTTCAGTAAGAAAGCATCTCTAATCTGCTCTTTAAGTATCAAGCATCTCGATCAGTTTAACAGCTGGACTTATCGCTCTTACTTGAACGAACACTGCATACAATAATTGATATCAAAACACAACTTTACAAACAATTCATGACATTCGACATGAATTACACACGAGTAGTATACAAAGAAACTGAGTTGAATTTCGGTAACGTTACATTATCTGGTACCAGTCAGTTACTGACACTTCCTGCCCAAACCACTGCAACAACTAACCAGCAACTTTTATCTGCTGTGCTCCAGTCAACTTAGTCAACTTAGGACGACACTTACATATACAGAGCTCCACCACGTAAGCGTAGTAGGACCAGCACACGACCAGGTTGATAAAAATCACAGGTATCCAGGATAAACCCCGCTGACAGCATTTTACCACATGACAGGGCGCCATCTTTCATCCGACCCTCGGAAAGGGTGTCGGTGACGTCACGGCTCGAGTCCGATCTATGCAAATGATGCGCGCGGGGAAAAACAAAGAACTGCTTCACACCAGCAGCACATTAATTCCCCATTATCGGACACCTGCTCTCCAATGTGTCCTTTTTAAATTAATAATACAATAAACGCAGTTTCATTCTGATATGTAGTTATGTGTTTGTCTTATTATGCTATAAATGAGCCTTAAAGGAACAGCGTTCATCTTTGCCATTCTGCCTTACATCTTATCGGACTTAACTTGAATTATTTTATTTCCAATCTTATAGTTATAATAAATTAATAATGTTTATTTTGTTTATATTATATTTTAATGTTTCTTTTTTTAATATTTTAAAGTATGTTCCATGCTGATTTTAATTCAATTGTATTTTTTAGGTTCAGAAGGAAATTTATGTTAATAAATAGTTGTCTATAAACTAAAAGCTTTTTTTTATTCAAATGTTAAATATACTGTATATGAATGTATTTTCTTAGATTGAAGTATGTGAAAGGCTAAATATATTTTTATATTTTTTTTTCAAAAATATTAGTTGAAAATACATTTACATATAATTTGAAATATACTTCAGCAAATGTATTGTTTTAAATCATTTCTAAACATGTTTAAGTCAAACCAAGTCAAAGGTCAAAGTGCTTACGGCCGTTTAAATGTGCACGCCATATTGAAAGTTTATTAATATGCTTTTGTTTTGTTTTTTTCACTTTTATTTGATCATTTACACGTCATTGTTGTTACATTCTGGTGTTATTTCGTTAATCTATGATCTATTGCTATTTAAATTTATATTTGATGAGAATTTGTCATCGGTGTTACAACTATTGTTTTATTCGTGATATAAAATAAGCAGAACAAAACAGCAAAAGTTAATTTGATATTTCACTTGCAACTTAGCAGTACGTCGGCAGAGGGCAGCAGCGCAGTAGTTTAAGCGTCACTACTGTTGATCTCCCATTGAAACAGTGAAGGGGGGGGATCAATGTTACAGTCTGGATGGATTTGAATCATCCAGCTAGGTTTTTTCTAGTTAATGACTTAGACTGGAAGTCCCAAATGTCACCATCAATGTGGTACTTTTCATTTGTGCATAATTTGATTCATCGTCAGTTTGCTAGCTTGGTGGGCCGGCTGGTAAGTCGGTTTATTTGTGAGATTTATTAGATTCGTTTTCCACCTCGAGCCCTGTCCTGCAGGGGAATTGCAGTATTATTTCCAGATGTGTTTCATTTCATGAACAGACCCCTCTGGTCCTCTCTCTCCATCTCTGCTCTTTTCCTCGGGAGGTTTCAGAAGGTTCATCAGAGAACCAACAACACATGAAGCAAAGAACAAATTGTCTGTTCATGCACTTACGTGTGATAAGCAGATCTTGTGCTGGGCCTGATTTAGAACTCTTGATTTTGATAAAACACACACACACCACACCACACATAGCCTCCCTCTCTTTGCGCTGTAAGTGTTGATATAATGAGTCCCTTTTGTTAGCCTATTAGCTTACAAACTTATATACAGTACAGATTCATTTCAAATGATTAAAAGCAGTCTTGAGACTGCATATTAATGTTATTGAGCGTTTATATTTACACACCTGACTGATCAACACATTCTCACTCCCAACTTGTCACATATTGACGCTATATTGGGCCTTTTTATGAAATATAAACTCACTCTCAGTGAGAAATTCTCACTCGTCTAAATTAACCTTCTTGCACTGGGTGGCGTTGCTGTGAATTTTTATACAGGCTACTAATCAAATTTTTTGCAAAGACGATGGAGCACAGCAGAAACGTGCTGCTACAGTTGGCATGAACTGAAAAATCACCCTGAAAGCATTTTCTAAATGCACATTTTTTATCTTATTGTGAATTATCCATCCATTGACTTATTAGTTGTTGTTTTTTTTGAAAGAATAGTTCACCCAAAAATGATCATCACCAGTGGACCCTCTGCAGTGAATGGGTGCCATCAGAGCTAGAGTTCAAACAGCTGATAAAAGCATGACTCCAGTCATCAGTTAATGTCATTTGAAAAGCTGTTTGCTTCCAGCTAAAATACCAGTCCTCTATCCATAATATTGCTTTCTCCATTGAAAAAGTTGTCTTGCACAGATCAAGCACTGATTACATGTGGATTATTGATGTTTTTATCAGCAGTTTGGACTCTCATTCAGACGGCACCCATTCACTGCAGAGGATCCAATGGTATGCAAGTGATATAATGCTAAATTTCTTCAAATCTGTTCCGATAAACAAACAAACTCATCTATATCTTGGATGGCCATGGAAGGTGAGTTAATTTTCAGGAAATTTTAATTTTTGGGTGAACTATTACTGTAAAAATGTCATATCTGTATCTTCCAGTAAAATGACAGACTTCTCTCTGGTAACATATATTCTCTAGTCATTTCTGGCCACTTAAACCATGGCATTTAGATCTGCCTTCATCCAATCAACACACGATAGATAGAACCAAGTCCCCATCCTAAGTTTCACTCTGATGTGTCACAATATAGATGATTCACAATTTAATGATTTTTGAGGCTCCTCTAATATGTAGGAGAAAAATTAACTTGACTTGAACCGAATTGACAAATGTTTTAAGAGGTGGCACGTTCGTGGGTGGTTTATCTCTTCCAACATTTGTTCTAGCCCATCACTCTTTTTTTCATAACTATTTGTGTGCTTGTGTGTCTCAGCACAGAGTAATGTGTTGTTCTGTCTGACGAGTCACCCCTGTTTAGTGAGCCCCAGTGAAAGCACCACTTAAGGAATGAATGAATTCATTGTTTCGTTGCGATGGGGTGAAGGAAGGAGGAAAGTGGCTTGTTTTAAAAGAGAGAATACTGAACAGATAAGAACAGAAAAGGAGATGTATACATGGATGGAAGTACACAAATTGTCATTCACCTAACTACTTTTGAGGGGACACCAGTGACAGTCCTGGCTGACTTGGTGGCCAACAGAAGATAAGAAAAAAATGTCTTTTCCCCCCAAACTATTGTATTTTTATCCAGAACAAAGTGTAGTAAAATGAAATGGATAGGCAAGTACATTATACAGCAGTCCAGAGAGTATGAGGGGGAAAACATGCAACATATAACAAAACCTGTACAGTATATATTAAAACGGATTGTAAAAAGAATCAAAATACATTACCTAAAATTAAAATCTGAGAAAAAAATTTAATTGAAAAATGCATGAAATCTTGCAGTTTCAGTTTTCTCCATTTTCATATTTCATATTTAAAGAATTTTAGCTATAAATCTTAGTTTAGTGTTACAAAAATGCTTCTAATTTTTTTTTTTTAAATGGTTCTTGCTTTGAATATAAAAGATTTCTAAAATAATTACTATGTGTTTCTGATTTTCTGAAACATATGGGCTTTCTAAACAAAATATATAAACATGGTTATAAATTCAAAGTTTGAAGTTTAACACTTGTTTGCCTAGAATTATGCAACCTAATAATACTTTATTTATTTATTTATTTATTTATTTGTATGTAATGTGCATTCAAAATCCACTTTGGTGAAAACTCATGATATGCATCAGCAAAATGGATGTGCAAGAACAGAGAGATGGGTGTGGTATGTAATCTCATACGTAAATGGAAAAAAGAGACAAATAGGGACAGAGAACTACTTCGAAAAATGGGGAGATCATGAAACGGCAAAAAGCAGAAAGATGCAGAGATGAAGATACTGGGTGGGAAAGTTGCGTCAGATTCATGATGAGAGGAATGCTGATAAAAATAAAAATGAGTTCTAATGACTGGAATCCCTCTGTCAATAAGACCCTAGAGAAATAGGTGTGACACTGCTAAGCAAAAGGAGGGGCTACAAGCACATAATGTAGTGCATGAACTTATGTCCTACAGGAATTACGTGTGTGTGTGTGTGTGTGTGTGGGAGAGAGACAGATTGTGGGCGGTTGAGTGGGAGGGGCAGAAGGAGAGAAGGAAGATTGTTAGAGAAAGACATGCATGTGAGCCGACAGGAGATGGGAAAGTGAAGGAAATCATGGGGAGAACAAGACTTGACAATTCATAACAATCATAGCCATATTAATTAGAAAATTTCAACACCGTTCCAATATGTCCTCCCTATGATGTACATAAATTCAATACACAGGTTTGGAGTGGTAACATATTCCAATCAGACTGATATTTTGAGTGGCTTGTTTGTTAATCTATCACAGCAGGGATGCTGTAAACTGAGCCAGTTGCTGCCTGTGTTGTCATTTGTTCCATATGCAGCAGTGATGCTGATATTAAGAGAACAGTCACAAATAGGAAGGATAAATCTGGATGAGTAACTGGGATGTGAGAGATGGGAACACTTAGTTGGATGAAAACAGGGAGTGAACGGGAAAAGAGAGAAAGAAGGAAAGAGGGTAGGATGATGACAGCCCCTGGTTCCGCTCCATTGCTGACGAAAGCTGCTTAGACCTTCAGTTGCCATGGTGACCAGAGGAGGAGAGAGAAAGAGAGGGAGAGGGAGGGCGGAGGCTAGGGAGGGAGGAACAGCAGAGAGAGAGAAAGAGGGAGTGCTTAAAAAAGAGCAATAGACAGAGGGAGGGAACGAGAGTGGAGACGGAGATAGATACACATTGCTAGCAAAAACAGTCTACAAAAATATAAAGAGAAAAGGTATTTTATTTATTCTCAGAGTTGTATTTCATTCATCTGAGCGTGAGATTACAAAGAGGGGACGTGTGAAGGTAGACTGAGACGTCAAGACGAAGGTAAAGAGACACTGCAGTGGAGCGGGAATATGGATGCACAGTCTGAGAGCTGTGAACCACCGCCATGTGACCCTCAGCCTCCAGGTAAAATCAGAAAAGCCTTCAAACTATTCGGCAAGCGGAAGCCTGGGAGCAGCGTCGCTAGCATCTTCTCCATACGTGGGAAAGGAGATGGAGGCCCTAAGTCACCGCCGTCAATGAGCAAAACCCTGGATGGATTAAATGAACCTACTGCCCCAGAAGCAGAGGCAGAGCAGGTGGATCTTGACCAGGAGGATGAGAGTCAACAGGACGATGCTCCAATGGAGGAGTTCACAGGTGGGAACATGAATTCAGAAACTACTCCTACGCGGCACTCCATCTCTTCCCTCACCTCTGCTAAGTCTCTGAGCTTCCTCAATATGCTTCGCAAAGGCAGACGGGGACTGATGGGAGAACGGCAGACTCAGACCGAGTCTCAGAGGCCCGGGCGGCAACGGAAGGGCCTAAAGGGATTGTTTGGTACAGTGCGCTGGCATGGTAAAGAGAAAGAGGATGAGGAGGAGGGTGAACCTGGCCCTCCCCTTCTTGCTTCTCGCTCCAACAGCGTTGAGATTATAAAGGAGAGTCTCACATTGACACCCGGGCCTCCACCTCGCTCTGTGGAGGGGACAGAGGAAAAGCCTAAGCTTCCTACACCACAAGAGGGCCCTACGTCATCTGAGGACTCTGCAAAGGTGAGCGGGTCAACCAAACCTCCAGCAAATGAACGCTTGAGCACACTGCTTGGAGATATCTCATCAATTTTAAGCTTTGATTCACTAACAGCATGTGGAGATATTGTAGCAGACGTTGAGGCAGAATGGGTCAAAGCTAGCAGTCGAATGGAGGGAGCACCTAGCACATTGAAAGTGGATAATTCTGAGAAGACTTCATCTTCTTCGACTTCTACCAGATCAAAGTCTAGCCCTTCTCCTACTCTCAGCCCAACCACCTCCTTCAAACCTTCCCCTACTTTAGCAACCAAACCCACCCTTTCACCTACCACCACCAAACCTATTCCCAGCCCTTTGACAAAACCTGCAGTTACCTCAACATCCTCTCCGGTGACCAAAATGTCATCATCTATGCTTACTGACCCTATTATCCCTACTCTACCGTCCAGCCCTCTCGCCAAACCCACCCCTACACCATCAGCTATAACCCAGCCTACCCCAACACCAACACCTATCCCAATTCCTCAAGCCACGGCAACTGCAACAACTACTCCAATTATCCAACCTACCCCAACCGCTACATCTGTCTCCATTACACAGCCTACCCCAAGCCCTATATCAAGCCCCACAACCAAATCTACAACTTCCCCAGCTAAACCTACCCTGTCCCCTAAATTTAGCCCTGAAATCAAACCAGACACAATATCTAGCTCCACAACTGCCCCAATGACCAAACCTATTCCATCCTCTACACCCATTCCTCCGTCCATCTCAGCCCCTACTTCCGAAACATCCCCCTCACCCACAATTAGTTCTACCCCTGAACTTGCTGCTGTTACTAAAACTGAACCTGCCCCAACCCCTGTAACTAAACCTACCCAAGCCCCAACCCCTGCAACAAAACCCACTCCCAGCATTACCCATGAATCCAAACATACTATGTCTACCTCTGCAACCAAATACACCCCTTATCCACCACCTTTTGGTAAACCTACCCCTGCCCCTGCACCAACACCAAGACCAAAATTTGTAACAACATTTGGATTGTCGACAAGCCGAAACACTGCTCCTATTGCCAAGCTTGAGATAAAACAACCCACAGGACAAACTTCAAAATCTAGCACCCAAACTGGCACAACATCTGTAAGGAAAGCCTCCATCTCTGAACCAATTGTTCCCATTGCTAAATCTCCATCTGCTGTTGCTCCTATTCTTACCTCTTCCTCTGCCACCACAAAATCACCCACAGTTACCTCTGCACCACAAGTTCCTGTCCTGAAGTCTCCTCCTGGTATTGCTCCATCATTCATTTCTTCAAAAAGAGCGGATGATGACGCCAGGATAGATTTAAGAGAGGACCTGGTAAGACAAGAAGGAATTGACAATAGAGACTCAGTGGCTACTCAAAGCATCAGCAAGGCAGTGAAAAGGGGCCCTGCAGCGAAGCCTACAACTCTGAGTAAGATCCCTGTTAGCGGTGGAGGTAGACCTCCTAAGCTGCCTCATCGAGATTCCCAGCCCAATGGAGATGAGGACCACTCAAATCTACCAACACCGATACATGAAGAGGAGATCCCATTCACTCTCTCACGGGAAAGCAGCAGCAAGGAGGCCCTCAGTGATGTCTCCACAGAATCGGGGGCTGTCACCCCAACCCTCTCCCACAGCCAAGACGACATTCTTGATGGAAAACTTGGTCTCCAGACATCATCAGGTCCTGCAGCTGGTGCCACAAGCTTAACCTGGGAATCCAAGATCCCAATCAAACACGGATCTACTGCAGCCTACCATTCTGTTCAGAGTAGGGCAGAAGCCACACGTTCTAAGATACCGGTGTCCAAAATGCCTGTTCGCCGGACCAGCAATAAGCCTGCACCAACAGCTACAGCTGCCGTCACCCGAAAATAACTGATATAATAATTCGGTCTATGACAAAATCCTGAAACATTCCACTGGCAACAGTTTTCTCAAGATTTACTTTTTGATATTCGATCAGGCATCACTGCGTCTTTTGCAGCAAAAATCTTTACAGGAACAACTGGATTATTATCGTTATTTGAACTAATTTACACACTGGTGTCAACCACACAATTCTTTTATCAGCTGGGTGTTTTTATTCATATCACTCTTGAACAGACTGATGCTGTGGATTCAACTCTGTGTGCAACCAGGAACAGACAGCACACCCACAGGCCCGGTCTAAGTGATCTCCATGGCAACCAAACATGCTAATTAAATGGCAGGCACTAAAGCACAAGAGCCCTCACCTGGAATCCAAAGCCATGTAGACCTTCTCTGAAGAAACAAGCAATGTGTCTGTCCATTATCTCCGGCATTGTAATAGTCCATAATGGTCTTTTGTGGTAATTAAAAGCCTCAGAGAAGAAACAAGCAATCCAACACGGAGTCTTGTGGTTTTCATCCAGGTCTACAACACCAGAGGAGCCCAGTATCATTACAAAGGTGCTTTTTTCTTATCATCCTGCCTGCCACACAGAAAAAAAAAGTTTTGTTACAGAGCAGTCTTTGTAGCCTTTGTTACTTGGCCTTCGTTTTTAGAATTTTTTGTCTGGTGTCTTTTCCAAAAAGTTTTTTTTCCAAGTGAACTGTGGATCAATGTTAGTCTTCTTGGAACTCCCTCGTGTTGTATGCAAACAAACAGAATCTCTTACCTGTACAGTTCATGCCAAGACAGGATATTCCACAGTATCTTTTGAATGTATGTAGCAGAACGCATGCCCTACTTTTTCAACAAGATGAGCCATCTCACTCCTTTTCCTCTCCCCACCTGTTTTCTCACAAAAATTTTTTTTTTAAACACTGTGTTAAAGTCACACAGTGCCTGTCAGCTGTAACAAATGTGTATGTAACATCATCAAGGAAACATGAGGCATATGGATCAGACAGGATATTCCACAGTATCTTTTGAATGTATGTAGCAGAACGCATGCCCTACTTTTTCAACAAGATGAGCCATCTCACTCCTTTTCCTCTCCCCACCTGTTTTCTCACGTTTTTTTTTTTTTAAACACTGTGTTAAAGTCACACAGTGCCTGTCAGCTGTAACAAATGTGTATGTAACGTCATCAAGGAACCATGAGGCATATGGATCTCTGGAACTCAATGGATTTTTTTTTCTGCCTGCACTGAACATGGTCTGAGACTGCGTTAAAGAAGGCTAAAGACAGTAGAGGTGATGTTTCACAGGCAGTTGGTGTTATAGGTAAGAAAATTTTTTCCAAGTGAACTGTGGATCAATGTTAGTTTTCTTGGAACTCCCTCGTGTTGTATGCAAACAAACAGAATCTCTTACCTGTACAGTTCATGCCAAGACAGGATATTCCACAGTAACTTTTGAATGTATGTTTCCTTTTTTTTTTTTTGAAGTTGCTATTCACATGCACATGTTTAACAGAGGACTATTTTTGTGTGTACGAGTGTGTGTATATGAATGAGTGGGTGTGATTATCTTAATGTCACAACGTTTCCTATTTAATCAATAAAATGTGATTATAGAACAGTTTAAATGTCATGCAGGGTGCATAATGGTATGGGAATGGATTGCATAGGACAGAATTAGGTTGTAAGAGATTGGCTGTGCCGTACATTGTCCTCTGTAGTGACATTATGTAATTGTGTTACTCTTTGGTTTGAGAAGTGGAACCCTACAGAGCTTTTCACTATAAAGTCCGAGCCTCCCACCACTGCCAGCCCCCACCCCCAGGTTTCACTGCAGTGCCATGCTGTTGGGCTGAAAACCCCACTGACCTGAATAGCAAACCTCATGAATGTCAGTATTGCCTGGTCAGTGAGCTGTAGGCTAAGATGCTATAGAATTCCTGCCACGCAACCATGCAGCTGCTGCATGCAAATGGAACATTTCCAATGGGTTATGTTGTCTCTAATAGGAAGGAGGACACAGCTATTTAAATGCAGGAGGCTCTGGATCATCGTCAACCTTTATAAAATATACAGTGAATGAATGGAGGCTAAAATGGGGGAACAGTGGTGCACAGAGAGAGAATGAGAATGAGACAGAGAGGGATTGTGGTACAGATGGAGATTGAGAACAAGCAAGGGGAGGGCAGAAAAAAGAAAGCCTTTTCGATTCCATCACAGCTGTGTTTTTTGATGGTGGTGACATAGCAAGAAATGCTAAAAGCAGTGCGCAAAGGATCTCGTTTTCTCAAAAAAGCAAAGAAAAACAAAGGATGGATATTTATAGACCAAACTCCTCACAGAGACAGCACAAACAAGGCTCTGTTGTCCAAAGCCAAGGGCAGTGGGACTGTTTAACTGGAAAAACACGAGGACTTCACCACTTTACAGGGTGATTATCCAAAGAGCAGCCCACTGTTAATGGAAACCGTCCCTTGCTTATTGATCTGCCACCCCCCTGGGGTCTGAAGAAGATGAAAGCCTTACGCACTTAACTCGTCTGTTGCATGTGCTGCACCAAACACTGCCAAACGGTCTGATTGTGAAAATGAATAATGATGATGATCACAGCCTCAATTACAAAATTTGAAGTGAATCATCGAAGCGAACATGTCAAACGCAGCCTGCAGCCTGCAGTCTGATCTAGGGTGGCAAAAAAAAATGAATGCAATTGAACAGTGCAGGGAGACGTGCAAAAGATAAATCCTGCATGAGTTCCTATTTTGAGCCCTAGTTACACAGCATTGTCTAAATCTAATGGAATAAAGGCTGGCATGCTAATATAGCCAAGCAAGACTGTACCAGAAGTGATCCTCCACTCAAGCAGATGGCACAAAATGACAGTGGACTTAGCCATATTCACAATTACACGTGCAGACAAACACAATTGTTTAATGCAGCGGGTGATGTCACAACGAATAGGATTAAAAAGCTATTTACTATTATCTGCATATGATTTTAGTTTATGTGCATCCAAACATGAGTTTAACACTATAATCTCTTTAAGAGATTTGTTTTGAAACTCTGAAAAATGTCTGAAAGCAAAGGCATAATGTAAATGCAACATCAGGAGTTTTGAACTGTTTCCTGATAATAAACACCCTTCGGCTCATATTTCTTCTATAATACAGAACAAATGCGCCATTATGAGCAGGATGGATTGTCATAAACTCTCCTGATACTTTAAAACAGGTCGTGACAACTGAATGCTTGTGTCTTATTCCCTATTGGTGTATATAAACACCCCCGGTGAAAAGATGTTCTCTGTTAGGAGATGTTTGGCTAATTATCCATGCTCCACTGAAAAAAAAAACGTCGCTATGGCAACCTCACTAGGTCAGCCAATGGGGGGCCGCTAAGAGGAGGGGTGTGGTGAGGAGGTAAGGAGTTCTAAAATGCACTCTCACATTACACACGTAACACAATTTATCTGTCCAAAATGTTAAAATGAACTATAGTATTTAGCATGTGTATGAAACTAGGTAGAATATGTGACAGATGGGCTTTATTGAACATTCTGACTGAAATTAATTAATTGAATCACGCTTGATCACATGTTTCTGGGTAAACGGGAGGTGAGAGGGTGTGAGAGGCGGGCTGGAAATGTGTTCATGTTCCAGGGCCTGTATGTCTCATTTTGCAGCCATGTTCTGTAGTTATTCATCACAATTAACAATATATATAAACAAACATTCAGCTTAAAGCCAATGTTATCGATCAATTTTCGCAATACAGACAAATGAAAAAAAAATTACTTGCTTTATTCGTACATATGATTTTATTATGGTTCACATTTTAAATGAGCTAGAAAACATGCTTACAATAAAAATATCGCTTTCATCTAAAAAACTATGAATGGTTTAAAAAGTACTGATAAACGCTGAATAGAAAAGATACATTTTATATAAGTACTTATGTTATTGTGATCTATAAAACGCTTTGCTGTGCTTATCCTCTAATGTACTGTATTGTTTACTGAATGAAAGCTGAGAAAGCATCTCTAAAAAAACAGTTTAGTCTCAAAGTGCACATCAGCATTGATCTACTGCCTGGTAAACTAAAATTAATTCATTTCACAGCCTAAATTGTTGAAAGTATTTGCCAGAAAAGATGCCCTGTGATTTAAGAGACTGAATGACAGACATGACTGCACGAATGATGCAAGACAATTTGGTCTTTAAAGTTTAGTGGTTCTTAACTGGTATGACGGCATGGAAAAAAACCATGCAAATAAAATGCATTAAAACTGCACATCATTTGGATGGGAAAACAAATAGGCGTACAAATTTTTAAAAAGGAGGTAAGAAACTTCCCGTATCATTTCTTATTGACGTCAAAGATCTGAAAATCTGGTTCCTGAAGCAAAACCACTTGAGAACCACTGAACTAGACAACGTTTTGCTGGCAGATAGCACCTGTGCATTCATTTTTTCCTAATACAACAACGGCGTTTCTTCTTGACATCAATATTCATATAATTTCTGTATTATTATTACTCTAAATTAAATTATAGTGATTCCTACATAAAAAACATATCAGATACACAATAAGTTCAGACATGCATATAGATTTGTTCAGTGGTAACAAAACGAAACTTTTAACATCTTATATTTCAACTTAAGGGTCAAATGAGATTCTTGCAGTGAATAAATTCTGTAATCATTTCATTATCATTGAAAGTAAAACCCTCTGCTGGTCAATTGCAGTACAACAAACAATCGAGAAATCAATGATTCTAATCAAAAACATTATGAAAATACGCATTTGTGCTAACTTATTAAGAGCCTCATCTATTAAAGATGGCATCTTATGTGATAGGTGTCAGTTATTACATTCATGTCATGCTGAAACACAAATTCAGCTCGTCTTTGGTGCGAAATTCTTCCTTCTGGAATGTTCCTGAGCATCAGGGTGGCACAATTGGTCGATACAAAATAACGCTTAAAATAACCACAGTCTGTTTGTGTCATTCTACAAGTCTTATAGCTAAATATATAACTATTCTCATCAGATATTGACAAATGTAAGGCACTTGGTAAATGAGGGAATAATATAAATTGTACAGAGATACAAAGGTCAATTAACAACAACAACAACAAAAACATTACGTGAAAAAACGTTTATAAATTCATGTTTAGTACTGTTGGATATAAAAACAGTACTGAACAATACCCTGATGTTTGTTAGAGTCTGTATGGCACACAAGGAACACTTTGTTTTTGGTGTTTCGTTTTAACAACCACAACAGTTAATCTTTGAGGTATATTCAGCTTCATTAAGAGTTGGCACGTTTGTGAAATGTGAAGACCAGTGACTGATTTCTTATTTACAGCTGTTCTAAGTCTCACCCCGGAAGTGAACAAAACAGGGCGAAAAATTCAAGAGTTGGTACCTTTGAAGTCTGAAAGCTGCCTCTGTAATCTCACGACAGGATGCAGTGGGTAAAGCACCAGTTTTTCCAAACTAGGTCATGGACGACTGCAAAATATACAGTCGACGCTCTCGTCACAATCAGTACTGATAAAAGAGAATCACAAAAGTGTAACCTCTTCAGAACAGTGGACGTGGAAAATGAGTCTATTATCAGGCCGAGCTGAAGTGTGAAGGTCACTTTGGGCTTGTTAAATGTCGTTAAACAAAGATGAGTCCTGCTCACACCAGGAAATGCATATATCCCTCCGCTCCAGTGATGATAACATCCATCCAGATTCTCATGGCCTCTGGGGAAGGAGCCACCATGTAATAAACCCGTTCATGTGTCTTCACGCTAAACGTCAGGGAAGAGTTTGGGCTCTGACGCAACATAAGGAAACATGATTAATGGAAGGAAAATGCTGATTAACTGTAACATTTTGAACCCTTTTCATAAAATCAGTATAGCTATGTATAGTAGGTGACCAAAAGGTCTCCAGCTGCAACTTACCTTGTGTGCGTTCTTTAGGTGGTCGTAATACACTTCTTCAATGGCTTGGAAATAGATAACACCCTTCATTTTAGTCTCATGTTTATCTGGAGAAAAATAAAACCAGTCATGTTTAAAAAAAAAAAAAAAAAAGAGCATGTGGTTTAACCTTTATTAACCTGTATTATTAATACATTATAATAATTCAATTTAACAGAAAAGATCAAATCTTTGTATGATAAATGGACTTAGCCATTGTCTCCTGTGAGGCTGGTGAAGGGCACAGCTCAGTTTTGCCCCCTTGTGGTATAAACTAGTTTCATGGCAAATTTATTTTGCTTAATAATAGTTTTCTTTAGTTAATAATTCAAGTTTACGTTTCACTGTCCAAATTTCATTCAGGTGTTATGCAAAATAAATAAATAATTGATTAATTAATTAAAACAAATATGTTAAACAAATACATTTTATTTATTTATATTTATTATATTATACTTTATTTTAAGGTGTGTTTTAGTATAATTTTTAGTGTAATTATACAAATAACTTCTGAGTAATATTAATTAACATGTAATTAGAACAGGGTTAGGTTTAGATTTAATTTATTGTAATTAAGCATAATTTACTGACATTACTATAGTAAATACATTTATGTACATTTATAATAAATTAAATTGTTACCAAAACGGCTGATATTCAGTAGTTTGTAAAGTGTTTTATATTACAAATGTTTGACAGTATAAAAATCATTCTTTTTGCATGAAGAGTTAAGGCAAGTGCACTACCAAAAATACATGCTTCAAATTTCAGATTTTTTTTTAACCTCCACAACTTTCGCCTGATTAGTCTCTATTAGAAATGCATTACAGTAAGCACGTTTTCGAACTGTTAATATAAAATGAGTGACAATCACATTTGATATTCCGTGGTAATTCACAGCAGGCCTGGTTGATAAAGCTTGATAACTCCTACTAAATATTTAGTGTAATTACCAGAATAATATGCCAGCGTCCTTCGATTGCGGTCAAAGACGAACCAGCGCTTCTTCCAGGTTTTGATTTTCCCACCCATTTTGACCAAGAACCCCCTGCAGGTCTTCTCTGTGATGGCCAGGTGTTTTATAATGACAGAGGAGAAAAAAAAAACCAGTCATTTTTAAAAAAAAAAAAAAAAAGAGCATGTGGTTTAACCTTTATTAACCTGTATTATTAATACATTATAATAATTCAATTTAACAGAAAAGATCAAATCTTTGTATGATAAATGGACTTAGCCATTGTCTCCTGTGAGGCTGGTGAAGGGCACAGCTCAGTTTTGCCCCCTTGTGGTATAAACTAGTTTCATGGCAAATTTATTTTGCTTAATAATAGTTTTCTTTAGTTAATAATTCAAGTTTACGTTTCACTGTCCAAATTTCATTCAGGTGTTATGCAAAATAAATAAATAATTGATTAATTAATTAAAACAAATATGTTAAACAAATACATTTTATTTATTTATATTTATTATATTATACTTTATTTTAAGGTGTGTTTTAGTATAATTTTTAGTGTAATTATACAAATAACTTCTGAGTAATATTAATTAACATGTAATTAGAACAGGGTTAGGTTTAGATTTAATTTATTGTAATTAAGCATAATTTACTGACATTACTATAGTAAATACATTTATGTACATTTATAATAAATTAAATTGTTACCAAAACGGCTGATATTCAGTAGTTTGTAAAGTGTTTTATATTACAAATGTTTGACAGTATAAAAATCATTCTTTTTGCATGAAGAGTTAAGGCAAGTCAACTACCAAAAATACATGCTTCAAATTTCAGATTTTTTTTTTACCTCCACAACTTTCGCCTGATTAGTCTCTATTAGAAATGCATTACAGTAAGCACGTTTTCGAACTGTTAATATAAAATGAGTGACAATCACATTTGATATTCCGTGGTAATTCACAGCAGGCCTGGTTGATAAAGCTTGATAAGTCCTACTAAATATTTAGTGTAATTACCAGAATAATATGCCAGCGTCCTTCGATTGCGGTCAAAGACGAACCAGCGCTTCTTCCAGGTTTTGATTTTCCCACCCATTTTGACCAAGAACCCCCTGCAGGTCTTCTCAGTGATGGCCAGGTGAAAACAAGTTTCAGGATGGTGACCCGCCGCCTCGATGTGGCCTCTCAGGTCAAAGTCATCCTTTCTCACTGGGAGGTATCGTGTCAGCGGACGAGACTAGACACACAAACAGCAAAAATCGAATTAGTGAGTGTGTCTGTGTAAATACATGCATGCATGTTTGTAAAGAGTGAGAGAAGGAATCTGCTTATTAACTAGCTACATTTTGTGTTAGAATGTTACAGATTAGATCAGAGATGCACTGATTTATCAGCCACCCATATTTATAGGCTAATTACTGATCAAATTAAAACTATCGGCTATAAGCTTCTAATGTGTGATTAATATTGTTTGTTTTTTTTCTCTTTTAGATTCTGTTATACTGCTTTTGTTCATTTTATCTCTTATTATTATTACTACTACTATTAAATAATATTTTATTTATTGCGTTTTATAGGATCTTCAACTTTTTCTGCTCAAAATATAATCTATAAATATGAATGACAAAAAATATCTTAACAGCTATGATGCAAAATACAGGCTTTGTCTTTAAAAAAATTCTAACAATCATCTGACAATGATGACATGGCAAAAAGTTAATTTTGGATTCCGGCTATGTTTCATGTCATAGATAAAAAAACAAAACAAGCTGATACAAAAAAAAACAATTTAGTTGCCTTTAAAAAAATTTAAAAATATATTTTTTTTGTGAAGAAAACAGCAAGAAAGCAAGATTGTTAAAAAAGACAAACATGTGAGCCTAAATAAAGTAGGTTTTGAAGTTTAGAAGTACAAATATTAGAATTGAAAATTGTTATTTTAAATTATTTATTTGCATTTATTATTGTTTATTCATTGTGGCTGCCTTAAAATAGATTTCTTTTGTCTAAATCTGTGTATCCATAATTAGAGTTTTAATTGCATTAAATGCTTAAAGCTGAATCTTCCTCCACTTCTTGTCTCTATGTATCTGTTCTCCCTCTTTCACTTGAACTCTCTAAGTCTCCCAGAGCTTCACCTCTTTCTCTACTAGTTTCTGTCGTCGGTTTGTCTCTTCCTGCAGTCTCCTCTCCAATTCCTCCCTCCTTCTCCTCTCGTCTTCAAGAGCCTGTCGCCGCAACTCCATCTCCCGCTCCTGCAGAGAAGAAAGAACAGTCCTGTTTTCATGCATCTGTATATTGGTATTTTTGTAATAATCATGTAGATTCAGAGAAACTGATGTACCCTGTGCTCCAGCAGTCTGTTCTTCTCAGCTTGAGCTTCTCTTAGCAGGCGCTCCATCTCCTCTATCTTCACCATATTAGCTGTGCTGGCACTGTACAGACCACACACACTTTTGTGAGACACTTTTGTTTTACTCTGATTTTCAGGTCTTAAATAGATTTTAGTAGTAAATTTCATATAAAAATAATGTATTGTCAATAAAACCAGCGGATTAAAACCCTCAACCTCATTTGGCAATGTGTTCCAAAGCATCTTAAGCCTTAATCTTGACCTTGGAATGCAATAAAAATTCCACAGACAGGATGTGTCGGGGCTACTTAAAGGCAGACTCCCGTCTATACAGCATCCTTATAAACAGTAACAAATACATTTAAACTCTTGCAAAGCACACAATACACAGATACACACACTTCTTACTCACTTAATACAATTTTAATGGCAATATCATGCTAAAGTTTGTTTATAAAGCTGCCTTTAAAGTGGGCTTTAAATTATTTTCTTATTCTACAAAAAAGCATATCTTAGGTTTCCAGCAAATATCTGTAACATGGGGCCCGTTCTTCGTACGTCGCTAACTCAGTTAGCTGGATTTGATTGTTGACGATTTGGTATGATCTTGGATTGTTTGGTTCTTCGAAGCTCATCCTGGAGTTGCTGTCATAGCAACAGGTCCGTAAGCTTAAACTTGCTCGGGAGCAGGCTTATTTCATGTAAACAGGATTAGATTGCATCTTTTTAAGCAGAATTGATACTTAAAATCTGTCCTCTACCACCGCTAATTTATTACAAGGGTACCCTACTAATCCAGGGATAATAATTTAAAAATAATAATCATTTAAAAATTAATTTAAAGATAATATAATAATGTTGTGTAGTCTATAATACAGCCATACTAATCATCAACAACGGGGGCGTTCAAAAAACCAAATTAGCCAGATCCTGATTAGCGCGATGATATCATCTTGGATGTGACATTTAATCTCGGATGTAATAAGCGACGTACGAAGAACGGGCCCCTGGACAAGCTAAATACTTAAATACTAAATGCAAAATAAAAACTTTGGATTGTCAGAATAGACCTATCGTGATCCTGGCCTCACCTTGAGATGTTGTCCGGTGAACAGGCGGAAATGCTGGTCTCCAGGCTTTCTGTACTGTCCACACTCATTGTGTCAAAGTTGTGTCCGTTATCCATGTAGTGGAACGGCTCCAGGAAGACGTTTGTCTCAGAAACTGTCCTATTTGACATCTCACTCATTCTATGCCTCTCGTCATTCAAAAACAGCTGACCTGCTGCAAGAACAAAGGGGGAAAAAAGTGAAAAATAAATGTATTTCTATTAGTGCTGTCAAACAATTAATTGCGATTAATTGCATCCAAAATAAAAGTTTTTGTTTATATAATATATGTGTGTGTACTGTGTATATTTATTATGTATATATGAATACAAACACATGCATGTATATATTTAGAAAATATTTACATGTATATACATTATATTCTTATATTTTATATAAATATATTTAATATATAAACATAACATATTTTTCTTAAATATATGCATGCATGTGTTTGTATTTATATATATTTAATAAATATACACAGTATACACGCATATATTATGTAAACGAAAACTTTTATTTTGGATGCGATTAATTGACAGCACTAATTTCTATAGAATTCCACACGTTCAGAATAATTTCTGAAGGATCGTGTACTTTCTGAATACTGCAGAAATAGCTGCTAAAAACTCAGCTTTGGCCTCTCAGGAATAAATTACACTTTAAAATATATTCAAACAGAAAACCGTTATTTTAAATTGTTTTAAATTTCACAATATTTCTGCTTTTACTGCATATTTGATCAAATAAATACAGCCTTGGGGAACAAAAGAGACTTTGAAAAATCTTTGACTGGTATATATAGTTTATATGTGGTTGCTTGGGTGTTTTTTTTACTAGGCAAAGACCAAATAGACTATTTTCAAGTCGATTTTCTGATCCCTGGAATAGTATTATTTTCACACATTTCAAATCACTTAGAAATGTCAAAAAGAACTGGCTCCATCAATACAATGCACCGGTATAAGTTATATTCTTTCAATATATTTCAGATATTTTTATTATATTTGTGTATACATACAATAATACAAAAAAAAATTCATGCAGACAGTTATACATGCTACACAAGTGTAGTGAAGAAAGCAACATAAAAATATATTATTTATATAATATATTATTATTTATGTGCAAAAATTAAACTAATACAAATAAATATACTTAATTGATTTCAGAAATATGATTATTTATATGCTTAAAACTTGTAGAATTGTAGACCTGCAGAACTGTCAGTGTCATAGGATAAATCAGTGTTACCCTTGAGCAGGCGGCGGGTGTCCAGGTCACGGGAGGTGACAGACAGAGCGAGGGGGAGTACACTACCACAGCTAGAGCTTTGAGACAGTGGCATATGAGGCTACAGGATTAAGAATATAGAGCAAAAAAGACTGTTTAAACCTCTCTTCCACATAACAAAACAATGCACAATTAAATTTTAAATGTAAATTGATTTTTTTAAGATGGTATTAAATACTTTTCCTATGTGCCATTTCTGTTGTCTGACCTTGGGAGACAGACTGCGATTAAGGGCAGAGTTGAAGGTCCCGAGGCTCTGCCTCTCTCTTTTACGGGACATCCCGCTGTCACTCAACAGAACCCCACCCTCTTTACTGCCATTGCTCCGCATCCTCTCCTCCAGAGAGCGAAAGTGCTGGGACATTCAAAAAGGCAGATAAAATCATCATCTTTCAATATGGAAAATCCTTGTTTGTCATTACTGAGCATAGTTTCTTCTTTACTTATAGAAATGGTTTGTGTTACCTCCTTCATGGACATAGGGTTGAGAGGAAATGCTTGAACACCTGTCAGCTCAGAGTACTTCCATTCCAGAGATGCAAGGTTCTCCCGTTCCTGAAAAGAAATTATTGAAAGAGACCATTCAGAAATGAACAAATCTATCTGCATTATGTATGAATATCGAGTCAAAATTGATGTGTAAATTAAAAAAAAATGTTTTCAGTATGGATAAAGGGTCCAAATATTTCTTACAGTCATTGTATGTGTATGTATATATTATATATTGTACTTATATAAACATATTCTGTGTAAATATACTCACCCTTCGTAGCATATAAATGAGGTTGCTCTTCTCCTTCAATAAATTCTCCTTTTCCCGTTGTCCCTGCTGGGTAATCTGGGTTGATTGCTTCTTCAGGGTAAGTAGCCTCTCCTATAATATGGAGACAGTTTTTATGTGCAGAAGGAAATATTCTTATAAAAAGCTCTTTGTCCACACACAAACACTCCACCTTGCGAGTGACGACAGATCTCTGATATTCTGCAATCTCTCTGAGGAGATGCTGCATCTGTGTCTCCTTCTCGTCATCTTGACGGCTCTCTTTTTCCAGCTGCTGAAAATCAAAATCTTCAAAACGCTTCGTTTCTGCTTCCAAAGCTTCAGTGTCCTACCAAAAAAAGCTAAAAACAATTAGCATGAGGCAATAGATTAAATTTTTTATATCATGGTGCAACTCCAAACTAAACTAAACTAAACTGAACAATCAGCACTAATTCACAGGATTGTGCTAAACAGAAAAGAGACAAAAGGTCAAATTCACAGGAAACTGTATGGTATGTTAAAAGACACAGAGAAGAAAGGCCTACCAACAAGAACAAATGGTATTTCCAAAGTTGCAGAGAGGAAAAAACACAACAGCAAGTGTTTGTGAGAGTCAGACAGCAGAATAGTTGGTGGGCGCAGGGACGAGGGAGACCACGGTAACTGACTGACCCTGGATAGCTGATTCTGGAGCTGCTCCTTCAGTGCTTCAGGACAGGTGTCCAACTGGGTCTTCTGCTCTGAGATCAGCTCAGCTAGCCTCTCTACTTTAACTCTCTCAGCCTCCAACAAGGCTTTGTCCTACAGCACACGGGCCGACGCAGGGACACGTACGGATGACAGACACATACAGAGCACACAGTGGGGAGATGGGCACAAATAGGACGGACAAAGAAATGGAGAAAGTGCAAGTTTGGGTTAGAGCAAGGAAGAAAGGTAGGTAAATGTGACAACAGTGGGTGTCATTCACTAATAATGGAGTACAAGTTTCCTTCTGACTACATTTTAAAGGAACAGCTCACCCAAAATTTAAAATTTACTCACCTCAGGCCATCCAAGATGTAGATAAGTTTGCTTCTTAATCGCAACAGATTTGGAGAAATTTAGCATTATATCACCTGCTCGCCAATGGTTTTCTGCAGCTTTTTGCTTCATAAAATGGGCTGGAGTCATGTGGATTACTTGTGGATTATTGTGATGTTTTTAGCAGCTGTTTGGACTCTCATTCTGACGGCACCCATTCACTGCAGAGGATCCATTGATGAGCGAATGATTTCCAAATATGTTCAGATGAAGAAACAAGCTCATCTACGCATTGGACGGCCTGAGGTGACTAGCAAATTTTTCTTTTTGGGTGAACTATTCCTTTAAGTGCAAACTTGTTCATAAGTCATGATAACTGTGTAAAAATGTTCACATCTACATATAGTTAGTGAATGAGACCCTCTGTTTGCCTTTTTGGAGGCACTAAACTTTGTCCTGAAGCTTTGATATACTATACTGAATCATTTCAAGCTGTACAACTACATTTCCACCTGCTGTTTACCTGAGTTTGATTTTTTTTAGCATTTTTCGCCACGTTGGCCATTTTTTCATTGAGCTGCTCCAGCATTTCTTTATCGCTCTGTAGCTGAGCCACTTCTGCCTCCTGCTCCCCATCTAAAAGAGCTCTCTCCACCTCCATCTAATGACAGATTGAAATGTTTGTTGACTTTAGCTTCATTGCACAACTAAAACTATTGAAAAAATCTTTTTTTTTGGTAATTGAAATAAAGTTGATAAAATTTGCAATAACTTTTAAAAAAATTGAACAAAAAATAGAAATGTCTTTGGCAACTAACTGAAATAAATTTGAAGTTGAAGTTGAAGCACTAAAATTACTGAAATTGAAATAAAAATGAATTAAAGCTAAATAGAAAAAAATACAAAAATCAAAAAACAAAATTACTAAAATTTGAATTAAAATAAAAACTGATAATATAAAAATAAAGTTAATACAAAACATTAATAAATACTATAGTAGTATATAATTAATACTAAAATAATGTTGCAGAATAAAAGTATACAAGTCTGGAGAGTCAATCTGTAAGAGTTATTTACTGGCAGACATGAAGGCATTTACATTAATGCATTTCTCAGATGTTTTTAATTGTAACGGCTTGCGATTTCTGGGAATCAAGCCCATGAGTTTGGCGTTGCTAGCACCATGCACTACTGTTTGGAATGCATACTATACATGTTACCTCACTTTAAATCACATAAAGTTTCTCATTTAAAGCACACACACCTCTCTGATAGACTCGTCCATCTGTGTGTCTAGATCTTTGATCTTCTGTTCAAGTTCCTCAATGTTGTTAAGCACCTGAATTCTCTCCTCTTCGATACGTGTCACTTCCTGTCTCAGCTGCATGTCTTCAGACACCTGTGAAAAAGATACAGAAATAACAACAACAACAAAAATGGTTTCAGTCCTGGATGATGACTGAGACTTTTGTTCGACCATACGTACAATTTTAGAAGTTTAGCTGAACTCCTGAATCATTCATTAGTCTCATATCGTCACATCACCTCTCCTTGATTGATTTAACAGTTACAAACATATAATTACAAACATGTAATGATATAATGTAGAAAAGATGGATTAAACATTCAGAAATGCAGTCATTGAGACCTGACATGAGATTGAACTCTAAAATGAATATCCAGCTCTTCATGACAGCTCTTTATGGATAGTAAACTTGGTTCTGAGGCCACAAGGTTTCCAGTGACAGCACAGAGGAATGTAGCTGAGCAACAGATGCGAGAGCGAGACTACAGAACCGCTACTGTCTGATAATGGCATCTAATCTCCATGCATTTGACATTTACCAGAAATATGGGCCTGTGCATATTTTTAAATGCAAACTGTGATTAGCAATAGCAAAATGAGTGTCACATGAGAGTTTATTAAGAAATATTGCTTGAGAGGACAAGTGTAGGAAAAATGTGACCCTGGACCACAAAACCAGTCATAAGGGTCAATTTTTCGAAATTGAGATTTATACATCAGCTGAGAGCTGAATAAAATGATCTTTACTTAATATCCTAATGATTTTTGGCATAAAAGAAAAATCAATAATTTTGACCCATACAATGTATTTTTGGCTATTGCTTCAAATATACCTCAGCGACTTAAGACTGGTTTTGTGGTCCAGGGTCACAAATGATATGCAGATCTGCATTCTTTCCTTGCATTTCTGTGTTTCTTTCCAACAATTACGGTCATGTGTGTCTTGAGCACATAGACGCACACACATGCATAGCAAATCCACTGGGAATAGAGTCATTTCCTGTTCCACTCCTCTTGCTGGAGTCAATAACTGCCCTTCTCTCCTGAGCAAGTTTATTAAACTCAAACACACCATTTATGTCATTATAGTTATCCAATGGAAAAACACTTCTTCCACAGAGTCCACCCCCTCTTAAGCTGTAATTGACACCTTATGTATCGATTATTATTATTATTGAAATGCAGACAGAATCTGTTTTAAAACTCATTTCGGTGTCTGACTGCAAAGAGTGTGAGGTCAGCGTTTTAAAAGGTCAAAGTTCACTCTGTCATGTTGTTTAGAAACAGACATCAGTTAGGTATAAAGACTCCACAGCATTCCCAAACTGTTTTGCATACTTTAGATCCCTGAGGACTGCAAACTTTCCACTGCATCATTAGTTTAATCTGGGATATTGAGTACACAACTGGAGACTGCTTTAGATTTGAACACATTATACATGATGGTATATATAGTAAAAACAAATATAATTGTGGCAAGAAATAACTATGTAAATTGGAGCTGAAATTAATAGTAGAGTGAATCTTATAAAGAACTGACTAATCTAAAGCTACTATTAAAAAAATCATTACTGTATATTAAGTTAATAGATACTAAGATATACAAATATAATTTAAATATATACATTTATTTTACATTAATGAGAATTAGATCTAGATTTAGAATGAATTAACATCTAATATACTCATAACAATATACTTAATTATCCCAGAATTAAATAAAGGAATAAAAATTTACATTAATATTCATTACTGTACAGGGTAGTGAAAAATCACGCTTTTTAATTTTTTATATTTTTGATTATATAATTTATATTTTTAATAAATTCAGCATACATTAAATTTGGTACAACACATACTACACATTATGTAAATATACTTTATACAATAATATATTGTTATATAATGAATAATATATCATTGATTGAATATATCAATCAGTAATATATCATTGACACCACAGAGGAACAATATTGTTGGAATCACTTTCAAAATTATTTTTTTGTAGCTGATGAATGGTAAAAAGCTTTGGCAGCCAATCAGAATCAATCTTGCTTTAAAGAGCTCGAGCATTGAAAGTGGCAGACGACTAAACTGCAGCATGCACTTATAATGAACACGGTAATATAATTATCGCTAATATAATTATCGTTATAATTATCTTTACAGTTACAGTTCTTGGTGTGAATGGGCCTTAATTGTAGATGCAACATGTTGGAAAATTAAAAGTCCTTTGTTGCATTCAGGAAGATATGAACAGAAAGATGCGGCGCAGTGTCTCACCTTGCTGCGGAGGTGTGGAGAGGGTGAGGGGACTGAGCTCCGCAGACTGGTGGTGGGTGACTGGGGCCTGGTCTCCCTGTGTCCGCTGAGTCTGCACTGTCTCTGGGTCAGGATCTCTCCACGACCCTTACCCAGAAACCCGCTGTCCAGAGACACTGCAGCAGAGTCTGAGAACACTGATTCGTCATCAGACACATGCAGCTTCTCCAGCTCTCGGTTGATCTTCTGCAGGTCCGATACAGCTGAGACACCCGAGTCGGTCTCCATTCGGCCAAGTTCAGACTGACCCAGCTCAGAGCACAGGCACAGAATAGTCTCAAGACGCTGGCGTTCCTAGAGTGGAACGAAAAGCGATAATCACTGACAATGTGGAAATAAAAACTGGAAATTATGATGCAAAATGAATAATATGAAGATTCTGTTTATGTAATTTGTAATCTCATATGTGACCCTGGACCACAAAACCAGTCATAAGGGTCAATTTTTCGAAAATTCTGAATAAATAAGCTTTCCATTGATGTATGGTTTGTTAGGATAGGACAATATTTGGCCGAGGTGCAACTATTTGAAAATCTGGAATCTGAGGGTGCAAAAACTCCAAATATTGAGAAAATTGCCTTTAAAGTTGTCCAAATGAAGTTCTTAGCAAAGCATATTACTAATCAAAAATGAAGTTTTAATATATTTACAGTAGGATATTTACAAAATATCTTCGTGGAACATGATCTTTACTTAATATCCTAATGATTTTTGGCATAAAAGAAAAATCAATAATTTTGACTCATACAATGTATTTTTGGCTATTGCTACAAAAATACCCTAGCGACTTAAGACTGGTTTTGTGGTCCAGGGTCATATATAATGCAAAATAGAAGCATTTTCTACTAGTTTCAGACTTTTGGACAGCATTGTACCTGATACATAATATTATAAACAAAACTGGCTGACTCAATAGTCTAGAGTTAATGTTTGAAATATTAGATATTACATAGAACACATTGTTTAGATTTGTATCATAGACGCCTCTTTAGCAGGGGATTGTGGGATTTGGCCCTGTGGAATTGAACTAATTTAGCTGCATACAAACAAACACACAAATACACTGCACACACCCCTGCGGTCAGATCAGATGGTTTGACTTCAGATGCACTGCTTTAGCACAGTTATCATGTGACCTTTAGAAGGAACATTTCAAGTTCTCATAAAGGTCTAAGTGTAAAGCAAAACTAATTTAAAGTGTGATTACCAGCTGGTTCATACACACTTAAGGTTATGGCTTAGCTGTGAATGTAAATTCATTAAGTCTGTAGCACATGAAGAAGTGTGAATAATCCAGTGAACCTCACTTATAATGCTCTGCGCAAAGAACACGGCACAGATTAAAGTCCTTCAGACACTTTCATGTCTCACCATTGTCTTAAAAGAAGAAAATTGAAACCCAATGAGCTGGATTCAAGCCTTAGAATTATAGGGAATTAAAGTTAACAATATTTCACAAAAAGTCCCTTACACATTGATTTCTATGAACTTAAGATTTCATGATATATTTTAAGCTATAAAGTGACTCGAATTAAAGTGACAAAATGAAAGTTATATCAAATAATACAATAAAAAATATAAACATTTAAGTAAAATATTATTTACATGTTTTATATCAATTGTATATTATATAAAACATAAAATGAAAATAACTACGTAAAGCAATATATGATTTAAAAGAATTAATAATATAATACAATTAGTATATTATAATATTAATAATATGATATATAAAATATATTTAATATACAGTAATAATTTTATTTATAATATGCTTTATATGACATAAAACACAAAAAAATAATAATAATACCATGTGATATGTGATTTTTGTGAAGTCATATGTGAATATGTGAAGTCATTTATTCAACATTGTCATGATTATAAAACTAAATACATGAAGGATGAATAGACTGAAGAATTTTGAAGCTTTAGACTCACTAGTACAAGTGTTTCTCTGGGTGACTTACCAGTCTTTCCACTTCCTGTTCTCGTAGTCTCTCATCTCTTTGTCTCTGATGATAATCTCTGAGTTCTTCTTTTCCACTGAGAGAACTGATACTGCCCCTCCTCGGCCCCATGCCGGGCCCCAGGTCTCCTTTACCAAATTATATTTAATATACAGTAATAATTTTATTTATAATATGCTTTATATGACATAAAACACAAAAAAATAATAATAATACCATGTGATATGTGATTTTTGTGAAGTCATATGTGAATATGTGAAGTCATTTATTCAACATTGTCATGATTATAAAACTAAATACATGAAGGATGAATAGACTGAAGAATTTTGAAGCTTTAGACTCACTAGTACAAGTGTTTCTCTGGGTGACTTACCAGTCTTTCCACTTCCTGTTCTCGTAGTCTCTCATCTCTTTGTCTCTGATGATAATCTCTGAGTTCTTCTTTTCCACTGAGAGAACTGATACTGCCCCTCCTCGGCCCCATGCCGGGCCCCAGGCCTCCTTTACCAAACGACAGCCGCCTTTCTCCTACACCTAGATCCAAACATGGGGCAGAGCCCACTGAATAGAGGCTGGCCCGGTGAGAACTGCTGGTCACGTTGGCTGTCACGGTCACATCTGGAGGTTTCTCCAAGAACGGAAGGCTGCGGCGTGGTTTGGTGGTACGTCGGGGTGGCAAAGAAAGCACTGGGGCGTCTCCTCGATACAACCTGGGCAAAGAACGACTATGTTCCCCCAGGCCATTCAGAGAGCTGGTGGAGTATTTCCTTTGGCGTAGTGATGGGTCAACGGTGGACTCCCCATTTCTTGTTAGCAATCTGCGGCCCAAGCGAGGGCTGGAGGGCATGCTGGCCGCCCCGCTTGGACCTCGGCGAGATGAAGGAAGAGCATCGGTCATGTAGGAGGAAGAAGAGCCGTTGCACATAGAAAGGAGTGAGTTGGCAGTGTTGGGATGTCGCCCTTCCGAAGGGAGGCAAAGCAACAGGTTGTCCTGCGACTGGTGTCGGGCACGGTTTGGGACTGGACTTATGGGCCGCTCTGAGTGGTGGGGCGATGGTGGCATGCTTAAGCTGCTGGAGGGTGTGTAAGGGGAAGGGACTCGTATAGAAAGAGGTGGACGGTCCTGTAGATAGGATGATGCCGATTGGGGACTGGGAGGTGGGGACAAAGTGAGGTAACCGCAGTCTGCAGTAGCCTTTAAGCTGGCCTCCAAAGCGGACTTCCTAAGTTGCAAGCTCTCCATCAACTCCTGAAGCTCCGCCTTGGAGCGTGTGCCACGAACACTAGATCCAGCCAATGTGCCACCATTGGAATGAAACTTTGTTGTATCTGTAAAAGAAAAAAAAAAAAAGTTAATTTATGCCTGTGCACATTCAAATACGGCGCCGAAAGAAGGGTCGACATCAATCATGCCAAACTTCATTTGTGACTGGGAGGTGGGGACAAAGTGAGGTAACCGCAGTCTGCAGTAGCCTTTAAGCTGGCCTCCAAAGCGGACTTCCTAAGTTGCAAGCTCTCCATCAACTCCTGAAGCTCCGCCTTGGAGCGTGTGCCACGAACACTAGATCCAGCCAATGTGCCACCATTGGAATGAAACTTTGTTGTATCTGTAAAAGAAAAAAAAAAAAAAGTTAATTTATGCCTGTGCACATTCAAATACGGCGCCGAAAGAAGGGTCGACATCAATCATGCCAAACTTCATTTGTTGTGCATCTTGTGACCTCTCAAATCTTTCATAATCAGCTCTCAGATATTCCACATGATATGGCCCATTTGAGGTTTAATATGCAAAGTCTTTAGCGATAAAATTCATCTGATATCTAATGGTGGAAAGGTAATACATGATGGAAGTTCCTTCTAAGCTAAATGAAACATCTGAAGGCGTGCAAATTTTACTGGAGACCGAAATTTCCTGAGGGAAATGACAAAGCAGTTATCCATTTAACTGAAACGAATCAAGAGCTGAAACATATCAAACCCTCGATTGTGATCTTCTTGTACTAATACAAAAGCTCAGTGTTTGCACAGGTTGTCATAGACACATGCACAAACAGAACTAGAAAATCTCACAAAATAAACAGAGAAATCAGACGTGTGCCCTGGCTACTTTTTTTGGTTTTGCTTAAGTTCAAGGGTCACATGTGCTCAGCTGACAACAGAACTAAAAAGGCTTTCTCATACAAATCTCAGCCCACACAAATATGGATGCTTTGGGTTTAAGGGGGAAAAGCATCTTCTAAAAATGGAAGAACCAAAGCCAGAATGGGTTTGTACTTTCTGGCACTGGAGCAGAGGAAAGGGACCGAGGCAGAACTCCTCCGTAACCAGAGTGTGATTTGTGGGAGCAGTGGTGGTCTCCGTCAGGGAACACACACACACACACGTGTGGACCACCTGTACTCCATAATGTTTATCTACATTTTGGGTTGTAAATCATTTTAGTTAAGTGGTTGACCTGGAGCCCATACCTATCAACATTTGGATCCCAAAATACGGGA